AAACACCCCCAGCTCCCTCAGCCGCTCCCCATCAGACTTGTGCTCCAGACCCTTTACCACCTTCGCTGCCCTTCTCTGGACTCACTCCAGTCCCTCAAGGGCTTTCTCGTGGTGAGGGGCCTAGAACTGAACACAGCACTCGAGGTGCAGCCTCACCACTGCCCAGTACAGGGGGACGATCATTGCCCTGGTCCTGCTGGCCACGCTATTGCTGATACAAGCCAGGATGCTGTTGGCCTTCTTGGCCACCTGGGCACACTACTGGCTTATGTTCAGCCAGCTGTTGACCAACACCCCCAGGTCCTTTTCTGCTTGACCACTTTCTAACCACTCTTCCCCCAGCCTGTAACGCTGCATGGGGTTTTTACGACCAACGTGTAGGACTCAGCACTTGTTCTTGTTGAACCTCATGCCAGGGGCTGGGTCTGGTCTGTGTATCAGGTCCTCTGCTCCCCTCAGCAGGGACTCATCTACAGCAACTACCCTTCTTTTTTCCTTTTTGGAGCTGGTTGTAATAAGCCGAAACAGAGCGCCAGACATAAGTACCCTCCTCGACGGTCCTTCATCTAGATCCTTGTTTTCCTGGCTCTCAGTGTCCAGAGCCTCGTATCTCTTCTGTAGGGGGACATGGGGAGGGGAGGGGGGCCAGGATAGGATTTGCCTGCCACCCCAAGCAGTGACCTGCCTCCATTCCTCCCCATCTCCGAGATCTCCTCCTGCAAAATGCAGAGAGGGGAGAGGATCCTCCACCTCCTGAGGTGCATTTGGCTGGTACACTTGCCTCAAGGCAGGTAGAGATTGGCACCACCCGTCAATCTCTTCCTCAGACACCCTAATGTCCCTTAACCTTTCCACCTCCTCTTTTGAGTTGTGCCACCAAGCAGAGCAGACCATCGACCTGCTCACACCTCACACAGGAGATAGCTCTGTTGCCCTCCAACGTCAGTACCAGGCTCTGGCATTCCCTGCAGCCCGATACTTGGACCCCTATAGGTTTCCGTGGCAGCTCCGTTTGTGTTGTCACGTTCTTCGTGACACACGCAGAGGACTTAGCACCCTGCTGAGTGGAAACCATTCCTGGGCTCGTGTCAAGTCCCACGCTCCTCCTTTGCTTCTTGATAGGAAAACCAGTCCTTCTACAGAGGAGGAATTACCCAATTCCAATCCTCTTCTAGAAACGCAGTATTTCTTACATAAGAGCCAAGCGTGCAGGTTTATACAGAATAGCCAGGGCAAGAGGCAGCTTTAAGACAAACAAATGACACCTGCTATAGGACTAAAACCATTCAAAATAACTTTATAAATTCTGTCACATTTCTGCTTTGTACATCAGTTCAACCTTATCCCTCCAACTTGGTATTGGAAATTCACAACGCTTGCTTTTTGTTTTGTTTTTTCCTGAAAGGCAGACACAAAACCAGCCATCAGTGCATTATTTACAGAAGTGCAACACAGTCTCTCCCACCCCAAAATGAAACTTTTCACTAACAAGATACTTCCAACAGAACGTAAATAAACACCACGGCTTGAGCAGTGTTTCTGAAGTCAGTTTATAAAGGTTAGCTCGTTTCCGCAATCCCCAAATGACAGAGCGAGTAAAGATTCGCTCACCA